CGGGCAGGGCACCCACCTGCTACTCCAACGTGGTTCTCCACAAACCGGACGTAGCTCTGGGCCTGGGGGGGCAGGTCCTCCCACTTCCTGGCACTCGTGGTGTCCGCTTTCCACCCAGGCAGTGTCTCGTACTCCACCTCCACCTTCTGCAGGATCTCCTGGTTAGCTGGGGACACACAGGGGTGGCGGTGTCCCTCAGACGTCCGCTCCATCACCACACAGATGCTAGGCAGCAGGGATCCCCAGCCTGGGGTCTGCTTCCCTAGGGGCTCAGTGGTGAGGAGGGCAAGTTGCCCTGCTTGGTTTTCTCAGGATCAGGGACAGGTTCTCAGACATTGGCTGTACCCCTTCCAACCAGGGGACATGTCCGCCTACACGCGGATTCACCGTGGGCCCTGCTGGGATGTCCATGGGTGACATCTGAGTAGCACCAGAGACCCTGTCCAGAAATCCTAAGGGGCGCTGAGATTTTAAAGTGTTAAGAAATCCTGCTTGGCCAGCGTGGCTCAGTGGTTGAGCACTGACCTCTGAACCAGGGGATCACGGTTCGATTCCCCCTCAGGGCGCATGCCTGGATTTTGGGCTTGATCCCCAGTAGGGGGCGTGCAGGAGGCCGCCGATGGGTGATGTTTCTCTCTCATCATTGATGTTTCTACCTCTCTCTCCCTCTCCCTTCCTCTCTGAAGTCCATTAAAAAAATATATTTTAAAAAATAAAGTGTTAAGAAATCCTGAAGGAGCTATGCCCCCTGCCCTTCCCAGGGCAGGGATCCCTGGGCTCGCAGGTGCCGACTGATGAAAGATGCTGGAACACGCCGTCCACCCCGAGGGTCCTGAGCCTCAGCCCCCTCTGGGTTTGCACAGTACCCTGGGCCCTGACCTTGGGGTCACACCACACTTCTGCTGCGCCCACTCAAAGGTCAGGGTCAGTAGGAAAAGTCGGGGGCCCTGGCAGGCACTGGGGTGTCTACACCGACTGGGGAGGGAGGGGGAGCTCGCCCACAGCCGCCGAGGGAGGGTGCCGCTGGTGGGCTTGGGATCATTGTGTGACCCACAGTCCAGATGCGTAAATGTGAACTCCAGGAAAACAGCATGGCCTGCAGGCTTTTCAAAGGAGGGGTGTGTGTGTGGGAACCCCAGCTAGGTCTTACACAGACCACATGAAAGCGTTTTCTTAGGTCAGACAGTCGTCTTTCCATCTGCAGAGTTTTAGGTTTTCCAGAGCAGTGCACGCCTGCTAACCGGAGGTGGGCCTAGACGCCCATGTGCCTGCAGGTCCCCCAGAGCTCCAGGGCTGGTGCCCAGTTGCCTTTCACCCGCCACTGAGGCCAGTCCCTCTGAGCCCTTCCCAAACTGTGGGACGAACCTGCGGGGACCCCGAGACCAGGCAGAGCCCCTCAGCCTGTGCTGGCCAGTGGTCAGACAAGCGAAGCCTCTGCACACGCCAGGTCCCCAGGTCACATCTGCCCCGCGCCAGGGGCAGCTGCCCACCACGGGAAGCCACCTCCCGCTAGTACCTGGGAAATAGGGGATCCTTTTCCCGTTCAGCTTGTAGGAGACGCCGACTTTGATCTCGTCCAGGGCGTCCAAGATGTCCAGTTTCGTTAGAGCCAGCCTACCCAAACCGGGAGTGCAAATGGAGAAGCCGTGGGCAAACGTGCTCACGGCTCCGTCTGCCTCCTCCACGCTTCCCCTCTGCCTCCGTGAACAGAAGACAGAGCTGAGGCTCAGGAGGAACGCAGAGGGCAGGCTGGGCACACCTCCAGCGCCCACGGCGGCATTGCCCCACCTGCCTTCCACCTGCCGCATTTGGGGTCTTAGCCCAGAGCCCGTGCCCAGGCTCATTCACGCTGCTCTGCCCACTGGCCCAGGCTGCCCATGGAGACCCAGCCCATGTCCACACCTCCAATGCCAATGGCGGCTTCCAGCTTCGTGGTTCTTCCTCCCACCAAGCCCTAACCCCCGGACCTCACACCAGGTTCTCGCTTTTTCTGTCTCCCTTTCAGCCCTGCCCCTGAGCTCCCATCATCCCGGCCCAGGAGTGGCGTGTTGGGTTTGTCAGGACAAGGGTGTAAGTCCTTTTGCTCTGGGTTTGCAACCCCTCCATCTATAGATGAACTATTTTAACCCTCTACAGATGCCCAGATGCCCTCTGGCCTTCATGGTGTTGCTCACCAGCTCTGAGTGCCCGGGACAGAACTCAGCATCACCACCCACTGTGGCCCCACCGTGCAGAAGTGTCTGGTTGGAGTGACCAACCCATGGGGGAGACTGTGGCCCTGGGCCCCGACGCCCAGCTCCAGGTGCTCCAGTAGGGTCCAGGAGTCTGGGACACCCCCAGTGTCGATGGTGCCGGGATGGCCACGCGGTGACAAGTGCTTACGCGGTGAACCCGTTGACCATGTGAGCGTATCGCAGAATCATCAGGTCCAGCCAGCCGCAGCGCCGCTTCCTGCCAGTGGTCACCCCCCACTCGTGGCCGCGGTTCTGCAGCAGGTCGCCGATCTCCTGGGTGAGGACAGGGCAGGTCCCTGTGTGCGTGAACTGCCGCCTGACCCCCCTCCGCACCCCCTCGGGGCCTTGCCTGGGCTGGGGACTCACGTTGATCTGCTCAGTGGGGAAGGCACCGATGCCCACGCGTGTGGTGTAGGCCTTTACCACGCCGTAGACGTCACCTATGTTCTGGGGGGGGATGCCCAGCCCCGTGCACACGCCCCCCACGGTGCAGTTGGATGAAGTCACAAAGGGGTAGGTCCCTGCAAGACAGAACCGGTCGGGGACCCTCCACCCCCCCACAGTTCACCCCAGCCCCGGGGGCTCTCTGGGCAGAGGGCAGTGGTGGATAAGCCCCCAGCAGGGCCCCTCAGGGGGCTCTGCCACGTTCCCTGCCGCAGACACGAAAGGGACGGTGCGTTGGGATCAGCCCATGGGACGTACCGAAGTCAATGTCCAGGAGGGCCGCGTTGGCGCCTTCCACGAGGATTTTCTTGGGGGTGCCATGGAGCGCCTCGTACATGAAGTAGACGCCATCTCGGACCATGGGCCGTATCCTCTCGGCAAAGCCCTGCGAGGGAGGAATGTAGCTGTGGGGGCCGGGGAAGCCCCCCAGCTCCCACCCCATCCCATAGCTTGGCTCATCCAGACATTCCCCTTCAGCCAGGGGCCCCTGGTCGCAAACCTGACCCTGCCCAGGGCCTGTCTGCGACTCAGCACTGTCCTCAGGACCATCATGGGGTGAGGTGTGTCCTGCAATTCATATGTTGGAGCCCTAATCCCCAGGACCTCAGAACGGGGCTGTACTGCAGGTCATTAAAGTTCAAACGAGGTCACTAGGGTGGGCCCTAATCCAGCATGACTGGTGCCCCTATGGGTCTGTCTCTGCCCTCATTTACAGCCCCAGACAGGGCTGGAGGAACGGGGTCCCAGCCATTTATAGCCCCAGACAGGGCTGGAGGAACGGGGTCCCAGCCATTTACAGCCCCAGACAGGGCTGGAGGAACGGGGTCCCAGCCATTTCAGCCCCAGACAGGGCTGGAGGAATGGGGTCCCAGCCATTTCAGCCCCAGACAAGGCTGGAGGAATGGGGTCCCAGCCATTTCAGCCCAAGACAGGGCTGGAGGAACGGGGTCCCAGCCATTTACAGCCCCAGACAGGGCTGGAGGAACGGGGTCCCAGCCATTTACAGCCCCAGACAGGGCTGGAGGAACGGGGTCCCAGCCATTTACAGCCCCAGACAGGGCTGGAGGAACGGGGTCCCAGCCATTTACAGCCCCAGACAGGGCTGGAGGAACGGGGTCCCAGCCATTTCAGCCCCAGACAGGGCTGGAGGAATGGGGTCCCAGCCATTTCAGCCCCAGACAAGGCTGGAGGAATGGGGTCCCAGCCATTTCAGCCCAAGACAGGGCTGGAGGAACGGGGTCCCAGCCATTTACAGCCCCAGACAGGGCTGGAGGAACGGGGTCCCAGCCATTTCAGCCCCAGACAGGGCTGGAGGAATGGGGTCCCAGCCATTTCAGCCCCAGACAAGGCTGGAGGAATGGGGTCCCAGCCATTTCAGCCCAAGACAGGGCTGGAGGAACGGGGTCCCAGCCATTTACAGCCCCAGACAGGGCTGGAGGAACGGGGTCCCAGCCATTTCAGCCCCAGACAGGGCTGGAGGAATGGGGTCCCAGCCATTTCAGCCCCAGACAAGGCTGGAGGAATGGGGTCCCAGCCATTTCAGCCCAAGACAGGGCTGGAGGAACGGGGTCCCAGCCATTTACAGCCCCAGACAGGGCTGGAGGAATGGGGTCCCAGCCTTGGAAACGTCCAGAAGGGCTTTGTGCCCTGAAACAGGTGCACTCAGTGAGGTAAGTCGTCAGAACCGCTTGCCGCCCCGGCCACCCCTGCGCCTTGCTCTACCTTGAGCCTTTTGAGTTGACCGTCAACGTCTATTTCCAAAGTGGGGAACATGGACTGGTGCTGATGGGCCAGGTTCTTGAATCTGCAGAGGTGACAGTGACTGAGCCCCTTGGCCCTGCTGGACCCCCAGGCCCCTCACTAGCCAGGCCCCCAGGGCTATGGGCAGCCTGGTACCTGGCGGAAAACTCGTCGAAGTCAGACAGCAGGTCGCAGATGCGCAGGCCGGTGCGGGCCGCCTTGGACGAGTAGGCTGGTCCAATGCCCTTCCTGGTGGTGCCGATGCTGAGAGATGGCGCAGCCATGAGCACGGGGCATCTGCCTGGAAACTGGGGGCCCCAGCCAGCGCCCCAGACCTATGTCCACCCCTGGGTGCCATGTAAGGCGCCTCCCCAGCGGAAGGGCCCAGGGGTCTGGATGGCAGTGAGAACCGACGGGACTCCTCAAATGGCCATGTCTCAGGGACCCCGGGGCTGGGCGGCAGCAGATGGTCCTAAGCCCCAAACTAACCCTGCCCTCATCCCCTGGCCTCCGCTGTGGGGCCCTGCGTCCCACTGTGCCCTCCCATCCCTCTTGCCCAGCACTGGGGACACTTCCTCCTGGGAACTGGGAGCCAGCCATGCCCACCCTGCACCCCCGGCCAGGCCCCAGGCTTGGCATTGCCACCTGTGTCTGGCTGAGCTGTGTGAGTGCATGTACGTATGTCAGCATGTGTGTGCACGTGTGTGAGAATGTGAGAACCAGTCCCCCCTCCTTCCAATAAATATCTTTGGAGGACCCCAAATATGGCCATCAAGTGAGGGTGGGCGGGATGTGGGCACCGTGTGGGGCTGTGGCCTGTGTGTGGGATCAAGGCTGGCAGGGGATCCCAGTGACAGGTGACAGACAGCAGGTGCAGGCCCCGGGGGTGGCAGCCAGTGAGGATGTCGTGACCCCAGGGAGAGGCAGGCTCATTCGGGCTTCAGGACTGGGGAGGCTGGGGGTAAACGAGGGCGACTGATCTCCAGGGACTCCGGATCCAGGTTCCCCTCCCCTCCCGTCACGCAGGACAGGACACTCCCCCAGACACCAGCTCCTGGACGGAGCCGCCACGAGAAGCGCCTCAGTACTCACTTCTTCCCCTCCTGGGCTTGCCGCTGCACCTCCTGAAGCCCATCGACCGCCTGGTGGAAATCAAACACTGGGGGCCAGGGAGGGCGCCGAGGGAGAAACAGACTGGGAGTTATGGGGGGCACCCTCTGCACCGACCACAGGCCCGGGCCCCCATGGAAAGGTGGTTGTCCCTTTCAAAGGGGACAAATTGGGCCCTGGCTGGTGTGGCTCAGTTGGCTGGAGAATCACCCGTGCACCTGAAGGGTGGCGGGTTCAATTCCCAGTCAAGGCGCAGACCCAGGTTGCAGGTTTGAGTCCCGGTCAGGGTGGGTACAGGAGGCAACTGGCCCATGTTTCTCTCTCACATCGATGTTTCTCTCTTCTCTCTCTCAAATCAACAAAAACATATCCGCAGGTGAGGATTTAAAAAGGGGGAGTTTTAGAATCTAGCCTCTGCTCCCCACCAACTCACGTGTGACCGTGAGTCCCCCTTGGCTTCAGGTTCCCCGTCTGCCGTGGGGACCATGATCTGACCACCCTGTGCTCTGGGAAGGCCGTGCGGAGCTATGTGGGCTCTGC